GGAATTAATTACAAAAATATTCAATGGCATTTTAAAAGCAGATGAATTGTCAGAATTAGAAAATTAGCCTATATAAATTTAGTTTATAAAAATGGCCTTATAAGGGATTGTAATAACTATAGAGGTGACTGTGACAATTTTTGGTTAGACTTATGGACGTGTGGAAAAGATGGTAATTGAAATGTAAATGTCAGACTCAGAAGAGCAAAATGATTTCAGGTCAGGAACATCCTGTTCATGTCACATTTTTTGTCTCAAACAACTGCTAAAGAAATCAAATGAGAAACGCATAATTTTCAATGATGTGAAAAGATTATGATAATGTACCAATAAAAGATGTATGGGGGCAATAGAAAATAAAATAAAACCAACAATGCACATAAATGCAGTCACATAATAAAGACTTAGTTTGACTTGACTTCTAAGTCGAGTAAAAGTGGGAAAATGTCTATCAGATGACTTCTTGCTAAATAAAGAATTATGGCAAAGATACTGTATATTTCCAATCCTCTTTAAGGTATACATTGATAAAGTCTTAAAAAATGGTAAAGAAGGTGTAGAAGTATGGGGAAGAAAATAGATAATGAAATATTGTTTAGTCTACTATATGCAGATGACCAGGTGATAATTGCAGAAGATGAAGATGATATAACATATATGTTTAGAAGAGTAAGCAACGTGGAAATAAATGTACAAAAAACTGATGTTGTATCCCATTATTTAGAGACTAGTATAGGAATTGTTAAAGGTAATAGACATATAAATATTTGGAAGTCACAGCATCTGGTAGAGATTGAAAAGGATGTTTAAAAATAAAATTATAAGAGGAAAAAGACAGCTGAATTCAATAATATGAAACTCAATTATTTCAATAAAGACAAAAAAAAGTGTGTATATTGCTCCTTCAAAGAGAGTACAAGAGAGTCTCTGTGTGGAAAAAGTCTGGAAAGTGCAAACAACCTTGATGAAAATTGAACAATTAAAATAGTATGAACTGAAGGCTGAAATGAGATAGACTTCCACAAAAAGTTTGTAAATGTATTCTCAATTGAAGTAAATACAGGTAAATACTGAGGACATAGAACATGACAATGTCTGAAGCCAAGGAAAAAAGAGAAATGTGGGATAAATAGGCATGGAAATTGGGACCCGGAAAAGTGGCCAAAACTGTAAAATAACTGCTAAATAGATAGGTATATTAACCAATTTTCTAGGTTTTAAACTCTATACTTCAGTATTTTTCTCTAAATGGAAAAACCTTTTTTCATTAGGACCAACAGCTCCATTAAGAACTTGTAGCTTGAAAATTCAATATGTTTCATTGTTTTAATGCAATATAGTTGTTAAGTCTCAGTGTGCCATTTCATTTTAATAAAATTTCCTTTCCTTTTTATTAAAAAGAAAACATTAGGGCTTAGACAGAAAACATAAGACATTATGGCCCGCAAGTATAGTGCGTGGGCCAAATATATTTTTCTACAACCAAAACATACATATTCTACCTGAACAGGATGTGTATGTACACAATTTAATAAATTGTGTTTTCTTCACTTACCTTCAAGTTCATTCTGTATTTGAAATTCTAAAATTTACAAATTCCTTAAAATAGTGAAGTGAATTTTCTGAACTTGAGTTGTGTTTTATGACACATGGTGGTTTACGAACATGTAAGGCATTTGCACAAGAGTGTGAATTTTGAAAACAGCATTCACTGTATTATCATGAAGAAGTCATGTAATGACATCATTCTCAACATTTTCAGTACAAGGATCATATAATAATTATTGATGGTGATACATTGACTTGAGGAGTACTATTGTATTTCTATTTTATAGCCACCTTTGCCTCTATTTAGAAAATTCGATAATTGTAAATCAATTAACAAATAATTTAACACAAATTTGTGAGTAATATTGAAGTATTAACAATTATTATTCTTTTATTTCAATGAAAGAATGCGCATTACCAAATAAAAATATTTAAAAATGTTTTAAAAGACTCTCAAAAGATTATTTTTATGAACATTTAAAATACGTTCTGTAGATTAATTAATTTTGAGTTTGAAGAAGTTTTCTGGCTGAGAAATTAAAGTAAATGGATGTGTATTAAACTAGTTTCTCTGGTGCTGTATAGTTACTACTAATTTCTTACTTGTAAAATAGAAATACCGCTGTTTTGAATTGTATATTAACTTGAAGGAAGGGAGCCCCAAGATGAATTATAGAAAGACTTATGTAAACTTTTTTATTTTATTTCATGAGTAATGCCAGTTTTGTTTTCAACAGTTTCAGGGTTTGATCGTTGCCATCATCAGGCTGCATCCATTTCTTAAGTATGGCAGTGCCCTCCGGTTGTAGGCCAGATAGGAAGTAACCTTGTCTTCCATCTTTTAACAAGAATTTTACAAGTTTTCTACAAGTTTTACAAGAACATATTCATGCCTTGAGTCCCGACAGCATGTTCAATCATCTGTCTGAAGTGTTGAATGCTTTAAAGTGAAGTTCATTGTTTTCATCTTCGTCATTGTATTGTCAGAATTGTGATCCTCATTTCATTTTACATCTATTTTATTATTCTTGAGTGCCTTTAACATGTTATCTAAACCCCTACAACCGCATTCGGATCAAGATGGAAGAAGAGTTTCTTTCTTATCTGGCCTACAATCAGAGGCCACTGCCATACTTAAGAAATGGATGCAGCCTGATGATGGGGACAATCAATCCCTGAAACTGTTGAAAACAAAAATGATGTGACTCATGAAATAAAATAAAGAACTAATTTCTTAGTTGTTATTTTAATGTTTTAAAAGCTGAATCTGAAATTCTAGAAATTGTATTTCTTTAATTGTCTCTTTGTTATTTCCTGTCTCGTCTTTCGCATTCAGTTGTAACACTGTGTGTTTGCGCAGTGTTGCACTGCTGTTACAGGGATTGCTGCGTGTAGACAGTAGTTTTGTACGCAGCCAGGTGGAATTCAATGTTGCAACAGAACCTCGTCTGGAGCTGTCTTCAGATGTAGACTTTTATGACAAAGTTGCCCTCTGTATGCAGTTGCGGCAACCAGATGCTGAGCTCAGGTACAGTGGCATAGCTAAGGAAGTGCTAAGGGCATTACCTTGACAATATTGGTTTCATGGTGAAGTTATGATATTTGAATAATATGTAATGATATTTTCATATTTATTAAAAAATTAATTGATTGTCCTATAATCTGAATTTCAATATAGTAGAATTCCTATTAAACGCCACATGAGCGGGATGTAAAATTTGTAAATGGGGGTTTACACTAAATGGGGGTTTGGGGTGAAACAAGTTAAAAATCAACGAGGAATTATCAATTTTGTTTTTATAATAGGCTTGATTTTATCATAGAAGTCGCCCATAAATTACATAATATTGTGGAGGGGAGGGGGTATTCAAAATATTGTAAATTTTGTTACATAATTTACGGATGGCCTTCTACATAGTTATATCACAATATTACCACAGTGGATGAAATTTTATTAATTATTTTATTTTATTAAATTATCAAACTGCACACAATATTATCACAGTGTGTGCACCAAATTTATAGGGATGAGGGACACTTCTCTTGATTCAAAGCAGCAAAGTCATATAATGCCACCTTAATACAGATATATTAAAATGGTGTAATTCACAAGGAGAGAGATTCACCAAACCTTCAGCCTAAATTCCTAAAAATAGGCCCTTTTTTATCTCCCCCCCACCCACCTACTCCCACACTGTGGGTCTTGCAGACCTGAACATTACCACTGCAATCAGGTCATTCACAGTTGATGATTATTCTTAACTTCACATCAGATGGGATTTTCTCTGACACATTTTTAAATGACAATTTTCAGTAAAATTTATTCTCCATTTTAATTTTATCATTATTTGATGTTTATGATTTTCACTTTCAACTGAGTATTTAATGATTTACAGATTTGTAATGTTATATTATTATGAGTAAGGTAATCTTAATTTTAATGATAAATTTTCACCATTATTAAAATATTAACTGCAGCTACCAATTACATGAAATTATTTAGAATACTTTGTTTTTCCCCATATATTTTTATTTTAAAGACAGACAATATAGGTTATTGGATACATATGTATTGAATGAACCTTAGATTATATTTGAGAATTTCTTCATTCATTAATAGTAATATTTTTTTCATAAAAATGGCCTTTGTAATGATGGTTTTATGATGTCTATTCATAAATTGCTGATTCTGACAAGAACAATTGCCATTTATATATTTATCTTATCTTCATATTACCAAAATCTCTGAAAATTTTCATTCCTTAATTTGCTCTTGAAATAAGAAAGGAAATAATTGTCCACAATGATGTATAATAATTTGATTAATTATTACATTCCCAGAGTTAACTTAGAAGAAAGCACTTTTCTCATTTTCAGTAGGTCTTGTCCAAGCAACATGGATCACTTAAAAATGTTCACCACATGGTCAGAAAAAATACGAAAACTAAAAAACATGTTGGGTATGGCTAGGTGGTAGCCAAACGATGACTGCCACCTAGCCTTACCCAACATGTTTTTCAGTTTACGTATTTTTTCCAACCATGTTGAGAACATTTATAACATGTTGCTTGGGCACAATTTCTTTTTAATTTTTTTTTTTATGTGATTGTGCTCATTTTTATTTTTGATTGCAAGAGCACATATGCAGATTTTGTATACTTTAATACTTATCTATGATTCCTATAATACTTATCTAGATTTTTATACCACAATGCTTATCTATCTATCTATCTATCTATCACACCTCTGAAAATCTTAGCTTCTAATGTTTCAGGAATATTTAACAACACTATTTTGAAAGTGAATCTTTCTTATGCAATCTATATCACTAGATAAATAGTTTCAAAATATATTAACTGAAATCTGGAATTCCAACTTTTAATACAGGGTTAACTAAAGGAACTCTAAATAACCTATAAACTTATAAATACTATTTTCTGTACAGTTTTTGTTGTTTTGTTTTGTTTTGTGGAATTTTATACATGCTATGTTTACATGCTCAAATATGTTTCCAGGCATAATGTGCATAAAGTTGAGCGGATTCCTGGCAGCAAACACCGACTGAGAAAATCCAAATACCAGACTGTTCACATACCAGGCAAAACATATGCGCTTAACCGACAAAACAATGAGATGTGTAGCACCATATTTGCTAATAAATAAAGTTTTTCTGTTTATTGAAATGTATATTATTCACCTTTACAACCATATTCCTGATTAAATTACTTCATACTCATTACTAGGAATTTGAAATAAACTCTTAAAATTGCTTTCACTCTGAAAACAGTATTGTATAAAATTTAAATAAATTATTGTACCCATAAAAATACTGTACAAGGGGGTAACTTCAGCCACCTGGAGCAGTGGCAGTTTCTCAGGGAAGGGAAGAGAGGAATGTCATGTTCACTCTTTGTCTTCTTTTGATGTAATTACTGAATAACATATTTGTTTTGATTTGTGAGGTAAAATGCATAATTTTTTATTTCATAGTTACCTGAAAATCGACTTGGATAGAGTTGTGTACCTTTTAAGAAATACGAAAACTTGAATGACTCAGAGTTTTCTCCTGAATTAGAACCACTCTGGGATGGGTACCTACATGCACATGAGTCGTGTGGAACCCAAGGTCCGGGTTGTTGTCCCATTTACAGTGTAATATCATCTCATACTGTGAGCTGGTGAAAACCCAGGTGAAAGGGCTAATAGAACTGATATGTCTCTCCCTCCCTTTATCAATCCCAAGGAAATGAATTGTGCTTCTTACTACACAAAGCATTTTTATTTCCAGTCAGTGAACAGGGGCACCTAATGAAAGTAGTTTTCTTGCACCTCCTTCACAATTTGATTCTTGCCATGGCAGTCAGCTGTGCTGAATTGTTCTGAGCAAGTTTCTTGCATTTCTTTGTTATAATTGAGTAAACAAGATGAAAAGAGATATTTTTTATTTTTTTTATTTTGGACAGTTAAGAAATCAATCTAAAAGACCAGATTGCTGTTCTATGGGAAGGACATCCAATTCTGAGACCATCAGAGCTTTATGCGACACCAGCCAGGCTCTTATTTCGCAGTAATACGTAGCATCCCACATAGTTCTCCATGGCATGGTATGATAAGCATCTTGGTTAACAAGGTGCAAACAAGGATACTTTCTTCTGTACTTTTCATGGATTCTATTTTAAAATATGAGGGATGTGTGGCCGTGTACTGATTTCAATGATATTAAGAATTTAGGTTGTGAAAGTCTGAGGAATGAAAAATTACTCTAACATCTTGATTGTTCATTAAAATTAATATTTTTTGTTGAAAAGATAATATTGCCTTGATCTAGCATTATCCGAAACAGCTATTGTTTCTTGTGTAAGGTCACAATGAACAAGTTAAAACAACTATTTAGTCCATTAATTGTCATTGTACCTGTATTTAAACGACTCAACTAATTTGTTGTTTGTGTCATTTAATGTAGTATTGAATATTTGCTCCGCTGATCTGGGCTAACTTCAGTCATTCCATCTGCCAATGGATTAATGGTGCAACCATTTTGAATATTATGGGATATTATAATCACTGTTAGTCTATTACCACTCTTACTTTTTACTGTTATCGCTATTAAGTTCATCTAAAAGTTAGCGAGATCTCACTAATTTTTAGATGAGATTAATAGCGGTAATAGTAAGAGTGGTAATAGACTTACAGTGATAGTGGAAACCAGTTCAGTTCTTTTAGATGTAATGTGGAAGAGTGAAATCCAACTTTTACACACTTGACATTTTAATGAATTTCTCTGTTATAGTGTGGTGAATTTCTGTTAATATATGGGAGGGAAAATTAATACACTTACCAATCAGTGATTGGTTGAGGTCGAATTACTTTCAGGATGGTATATTTTTCAGGTAACTGCGGACATGCCAAAAATGCAAAAAGAAAAGTGGGGGACATGAATACCTAAATTACAACCTGATGCACTGGAATAGTTTAGAAGGAGCAAAATTTTAATTCCCTAGCCTCTTAAAAAAACTCCAAATTTGTGGGAAAGATGTTAGGAGATATGAAAAAGATATAGGCTATAAAGATATTAGCAAACAATATAACAATGTAATTCGTGGCATATCTTTAGATGTAATCAGGCTCTGTGAGAGTAACAAGTTTACTCTTCTGCCCCCAGCTATAGAAAACTGACCTAACTCCTCATTGTAGCTGTAGTCTGTATAATAAAAGTTTAATAATAACAAACTTTAGGATTAGAACAAGATGTACATGGTCCCATGGTCCCCCAAAAGGGAAATTTACCAGATTCAAGAGGTCAGCAATTTAAATTGTGGGTCCTGAAAAAATGAAAACTAACTGACAATCTGCATTCTAATCAATCGGGATCTTGTCTGTAAACAGAGATAGAAAGACAGAGAGAACAAAGAAAACTTCCTTATTTCAAACCAAGATGTTTTTACTAATTTATTTAATTTAATTTTTATTTATTTAACATAAAAACAGTTATAATAGGTCTGTGATGTACTATGGGGAGAAGTACAGGTTTTCTGAAATTTTGGGGTCTCTACCCTTACCCATATACCAGTTGAATTATGAATACTGGTGAAAATGAGCATTTTTAGCAAGAATAGATGAGAAAATATTCCCTCCAGTGTAATACAAAATATTTGCAAAGAAAAAAGCTACTGCTTAAGGCTATTATCCCTCGTAGTACCTTGTGTGAATGAATCGACTTACTCCCTCAAGAACATAGAGAAAAATAATTGGGAAAGTATTGGCCCAGAAGCTAAGGTTCAATACTTATTAGAGGCATATTTAGTCTTTCAGAAATATACAGCCCAAATGGTAACAAATATCTTATATGTCATTGTTAAAATCAATGTTATTTTCTATTTTGATGTTTCAAAGTACCTATCCCTGATAGAACTTTAACAGATGAACAAGCAAGCAAATGAAGATCAAATACAAATTATGATTTTGCTTTAAAACAGATTCAACAAGAAAGGTGGCAATTCAATTTATTTATTTAGTCAAAAAATAGTAAAAACTGTATGTGACGTATGGGGGAGAAGATCATCTGTGCATACTTTGAGTTCCAGAACCCCTTCCCATCATTTTAACTAAAAATATTTGAAGGATGAATAAAAGTTAAAGATAAATAAATAACAAAAAAATTTAAAAAAGCACGAGATCAGCAACATTTGAAAAACTACACATGTTTGTTCCCAAGTTATAGAAAACTTATTTGCAACAGTAAACAAACTGCAAATTTGATTTTCCTGCATTGCTAACAAAATAGTAACTCGCTCTTACCTTTATTCCTACCACTACAAGCAAAAGAAGAGTTAAACAAAACGTGTGCATAGTGAAGCTACATTTACAACCAGAAGCAAAACAAGGGGCCATCTCAGCATTTGCTCAATGTATCAGGGAAACTGGACAAAAACCTGATCAAGATGGATTTTGGAAACTCACTTAGCCTTTATGGGCTTTGAAAAGGTGTTTGGCAAAATTCACAGGGATAACTTGTGGTACATAATGGAAGAAAGAAGTTTCTCTAAACTTTGATTAATGCCTCCAAATGTCTGCACAAAGAACACCAGAATTAGAATTGATACTTTCAAAGTAATGATATCTGAAATACAGATAAATCAAGGAGTCAAACAGGGATGTAATTTGCCACCATTACCTCCTTCACCAGACGGTGAGATCAGATGAAGACCTACACTTTGCTTCTAGGCTGTCCGGGTGACGCAGGGTAGTGAGGAAACCTGCGACATGACGTCGAAACTTCGGCCTATCTGCCAACGACGCGGCGTCACCCGGACAGCCTAGAAGTAATGGACTCGTGCCGCGGAAGCCTACGTGTACGACCTACACTTTGGCTGGAGGGGAATATCCTTCTGCAGGGCACTTCCCCAGTCAAGACAAGCTCTAAGATCCCATGTGTGGTAGTATAGCACATGCGAGTATAAGAAGGGATGGTAAAACATGGAAGGTGAAGAAAAGATCATGAGTGTACATTTGTGCTCCAGATTTGCTTGGTACTTATTCAAGAAACAATGGAAATCTAGCAAACAGAACAGCCGGCCATTGGAATTATTGTCCAGACAGCAAATGAATGAGACCAAGCTATGTAGATGGTGCTGAAAATCAACCACTGTTGGGATTCCATAACTAACATTTCCCTGTTAAGAGTTTCTGCAGAGGCATTTTGTAATATTGACTCAGAGCTAAATAATCCACTTTAAGGATTCAAATGTATACATTTCATAGTAATTTCAAGAAACCAAATACTTGAAAATTATTATAGATTTATAACTGACGTTGTGATATGCCTATTTGTGAAATACCGACACTCAATATTTAAATACTTATATAATAAACAATATTAAAATGGAATATTACCAAAGAATGAATATCTCAAGTTCTGTTGATATTACTTTTATGCTTGGACACTTTCTTGAAATTCACATAATATTGATCTAGAAATATGTTATGATATATCTGCCCTGCGAGCCTCATAAATTTGCCAGGTAGTGAAAGGTAATTATCTTCATTTTATTTCTATTTTACGTATTTTGTTACCCAAGTCCGCAGGTTCATACTCGATCAAAGCCGTGGATTTTTAAGAGCCAAAAAATCTTCGTAAGTGTTCCTTCGGAGGGGAAGGAAAGCTTCTGTTAGTAGATTTACAGCATGTATAAGATTCTCACACCTAAATGAAGCCAAACCTCTGAGCGAAAGTCAAATTGCCTGTTTCGTCGCCCAAAAAATTCCCCTTTTCTCCGCTTACTTCTGGACAGTAATGTAACTTCGCTCCGCTTCGCTCTCTCCAACCAAGATATTGTAACGTATTAGCCAGCGTGCCTCATGGCATCTATTTGGGGACGCTTGGTTGCGGATTAGTCTCGCCACAGGAAGAAGGGTTTTTCCGTAAAGGGAAGAACGCGGAGACGAGAGACACAAGGCTTTGGGTGTCTTCCGGCTTATAGAAGCTTTTCACTGTTATAACAAGCGAGGGGGTGGCGTGACGCAGGAGGTCACGTGGGCCTCGCCTATATAACAGAGTGTACGGAGCCAGTAGGGAGGTTCTGGAGACGGTGGGAGAACCTCGTGCGTGTGCACAAAACTTGGCGCCTAGACGGTGCATATGCGAGCCAGGCTCGCGAGGCTTGAGTCATTAGTTGACGAAGCC